TCAGTCACCCCCCATAAAATAGAATTATAAGAGAAACAAAAAAAAATGAGATGGACGCGTTGTGTCCACGCACAGCCCACGAGCCGTTCGAGGCTTAGAACTGTGTCACCTCGCGTCTCGCGTCACCGGTCACCGGGACCTTCCGATCATATTTTTAAGGTTCCGGTGACCGGTGATGCGGTCCTGAGTGGAGAGAGCTGGGCGGAGTCAATTGAAAATCAGCCGAAAAGTGCAGTTCTTACCGAGCTCTGACTTAAAATATTGAATTTTAAACTATTGGTCAGCGCCATCTACTAAGAAACCGTCCAAGTTTGACGTGAAATAGTTTCTGGCTCCTGTTGCAAGATGACACCACTAGTTCTAGATCACACGCCATCTAGCTACGATAGCGGGAACTCTCTTGACTACAAACTTGGGCCTTTTCCCACCGATGGCGCCACTGGTACTAAAATTGCTCATTGAGCGGCTTAATGAGCGGTAGCATTTCTGGATGCACTGATTTTGTCGCAGTCACGTGGTTTTATTTGCACAGCTTCGTTGCAAGTGAAATATAACTATGTACATTAGTCGACGCTGATTGTCATTTCAAGTGCATACCACTACCGCGCGTGGTTTATCTACATGCAATTAATTACATCTAACCGAGGTTTAAATAAAACTATTTTATCGACTTTTCCTAACAGCGATTGGCCTTGCAATTTCATTCACTAGCGCAATAGTTGTATCAAGTTGTATTACGCGTGCGTCGATGATGATAGTTGTCATTCCTCTTTAGTTCCATGGTTCATGATAAAAGTGGAAACTGACAATTTAGGAAATAGTATTTGGCTTTAGCCAACATCTGGCGATCTCTAATTTCTCTAATTCGGTGAAGTTTGAAAACATAAAAGAAAAGAAAGAAAGAATGGCAAAATCTAAGACGACGTGTCTATATACGTGTATGATTCGAAATACTTGTTGAGAAGGAACATTTCCGATAACAGAAAAAAAGATAGGTTTTGTTTGTAACAGTTATCACGGACACGGACATTTTTACATCTAAATTTAGTTCAAACAAGATACATTGTTAAGATTGTTTTAAAACCATGAAGAAGATAGTGTAATAACAGCCAATTGAGTGGGATAACGTTTCTTCCTCTTGAAGATCTAATTCATTGATGCAAGATACAATCATTATGAATTCTGTAGTCATGTTTATTTTAATGTTTATTATGCTAATTAATGTCAAAGATGGAATGTTGATATCACAGCATCCAAAGTTACTGGTGGTATCCTATGATGCTTTCAGGTATGATATATGGTTATTGTTTTCCAACTTTGAATCAATTATAACACATCGCTTTAAAGCTCTTTTTTCCAATGGATATACGTTATAAATTATAATTTTCCAACATAAATTTAATTACACATTTTTATTCCAACTTCATAGAAGCATTCTGTTATTAATATATCTTCTGCTTTACAGATATGATTACTTTAACAGAAATCTAACACCTTTCATGAACAAATTAAAACATGAAAGCACATATGCTGATTATATAATGAACATTTTTGTCACAAAAACATTTCCCAATCACCATACTATGGCCACAGGATTGTATGCGGAAACACATGGTGTTATAGATAATGAATTTTATGATCCTGCTTCAGGGAATACAACAAAATATTCTTACAATTTATATCACTATAGTAATAATGTTCTTCCTATATGGGTATGTAGAAAATTATGATCAATTTATATCATATACCTTTCATTAAATTGATAAATTTTTGACTACATAAGGCTGCCAATGAGAAAGGAGGTGGCCAAAGACGTAGCGGTTCTATGATGTGGCCTGGTGGAGTATTTGAATACCAAGGAGTTTCTGCCACATTTTCGCAGGTACTATATGAATAATGTTAATGCCATGTTTTTCAATTTAAATAATATTGCAATTTCTTTTAGAATTTTAATGGTACTGTACCTTGGGAAGAGAGAATAGACACTTTAGTGTCATGGTTTATCGATCCTATACATCCGATTAACTTTGGAATAATATACATCGAAGAACCAGATTACCATGGTCACGGGGTCGGAATAAATAGCCCCGAATTTGACGATATTCTTAAAAAATTAGACAACATAACTAAGTACTTGCACAATAAAATAGAGCAGCATGGTTTACATGATCTCAATATCATTCATTTAAGCGACCATGGAATGGCATCCGTTAAGTTAGATAGGATAATAGATCTAACAAAGTATATTAACAGTTCTGATTACAAATTCGTGGGCACTTCACCAGGTTTACATATATTTCCCAATCCGGGTACGTTGACTCGCTAATTCCGATTGTACATGTTCAAGAGCAATAAGATTATTATTGTTGTTTTTCTAGGTAAAGGAGACCAAATATACGAAGCACTGAAACAAGCAGCAACAAAAACACAGACATTCAAGGTTTATAGAAGGGAGGAAATTCCTAGGAAGTATCATTACGGAAATAATACACGCGTTGGTCCTATTTTTGTTATTGCTGAAGTTGGATACGCGTTTCAGAATCTTCTTGATACTATAGAATACTATAAAAAGTCTTTCAATATTACAGGTAATCATAGATAATATACAATTCAGATATCCAGAGTGTACAAATTTGTATGTACTCTAAATATAATATTTATTTTTAGTAAATGGCGACTCAGAGTTTGGTCTGCATGGTTACGATAATGCAGCACTAGAAATGCATCCATTCTTTTTCGCGAAAGGTCCTGCATTTATCCCCAAGTGTAAACTGGAACCATTTAACAACATAGACTTGTTCCCTTTATTTTGTAAAATACTCGATTTAGAGTGCCCGGCAGTAAATGGCACTCTGTCGCATATAACTAAGTGCCTTAAGAAACATCAACAAGATATCACAGTTATCGCTTATAGAATGATATGTAAGTGAAGATTATAGGATTGATTGTTAGCATTTGTTATACGTATAATATTTATCTAACATCTCTCGATTTAGTTGTAGCCACGACTATCTCTATGACAATGGTAGGAATAATAGGAGCGATTGTAATGTTTTATATGAGGAAGCGACAATTAGGTGCAAAAAGTTACAGGTAAGTGAATACATACTTCAAATTATTTTTCCTTTTTTTTTGTCCAAGTTTGTTAAAAAGAAAAGAAGAATAAATTAGGATAAATGAAACATATTCGGGATTGCGTTTTTATGAACTTACTTTTGGATTTTAAAAGTTGAATTTTGGAAAGCATTATAATAATGTAACATTAATATTTTAATTTTTCAGGAGATATTATCTATTGGATGGATAATATGTATAAACTAACAAGCAATAGACGAAATATATTCATTTTCATATTATACATAACTAAACGAAATGGGTTGAGAAAATGATCTTAAAAAACATAAGTCATAATATGAAATAACATCACTACACAGAATAAATGAAAATAATGTTAATTTCATTTTCAATAAATAAAGTCTTATTTCGTCAGACTTTGAAGTATATAATATAATAGAGCTTTCCTTTTTAAATAATTGACGGTCTTAGATATTCTAATCAAAGTACAATTATTCATCAGAATTATAAATAAAAATTATTGAATTCGTGCAAAAGTAAATTTTTGTACTAGTTTCTTTATAGGAAATTATTAATGATGCTTTAGCGAAATCTATGTAGCAAATTTTAATCTTTAGATTGCACATTGAAGCACAAGATAAAAATAAATTCTTTAATAAAGGATACACATATTTCTCATTTATATGGGTATAAACAATTGATTCAGAGAAAGAATAATACATAATACTTTCTTGTGGCATTTTGTTAGAAATTTGTTGTCCTCTAATATTACTGTCGTATAAAATAACAAGACTTTTGTTTTTAGAAGAATACTGGAAGATTTGGAAGCACAGTACCATTGGGATGAAAAATACGATATTCAAAATGCTACTTGCAAGTAAATTTACAAAGATTTATTTCCAAACTTTTTCTTTCTGCTTAATGTTTAAGAAGAATTATCTCTTTTCATATGCAGAAAACAAAACTTCGGAAATATGAATATTAATAATTTATCTATTTTTCTTTCCAGATTAAGCAATTATCCTGATTTATTCATAATTTCATGCCACACGAATAGTAGACGTTCATATGCAAATAAAGGGAACGTTAAATATAGGAAATCTCTTTTTCACGATAGGTGACACATGTTTCACGCATTGTATGGTCAAACGCATAACTTTTAAAATGCATATAAATGAGAAAATACTTCTGTGATAATGAAAATTTACATCTTCAGACAAGTTTCTGAATAATGTATTTAAGTATATGAATAATCATATTAGTTATCTTACTGGGTGTACAGATTTTTATGAGTTTCTATAAGGTACACTCCTTTGAACTTTTATCTCTTTAGGTTATATAATGCTATTCATTATAGTAACGATATTTTATCAGATTAGAGCGTAAAATAAAAGAACCGTCTAGAAAATGAGGTTTTACCTTTCAATTTGTACATACTGTCGATAACAGTATAATATAAAATGTAAAAGATGCCATGCGTGGACAATATTTGGTAAATCTATTTAAGTCGTAACAAATAAATTGTTCTGCACAGTATTATTTTAGAGTTTAGAATGTAAGATAATTCATCGTGTACATTTCCAGCAAGTTATTTTATGGAATTAAAGTATAGATTACGTACATTTATCATACTCAAACACCAATTGTATAATGCTCATATGTACATACGTCACGTATAAATATTGATGCTATCACAGCACACCTAAGAAGTGTTTTTTAATAAAATATATATCCACAACTGTTTATTTGATTCATTTCCCTTAATAATTTCCATTTCCATATTCTAATGCCAAGCAATGAAACTCAGATTAGATTAATCATTGATTTGTGAGGGTGACTGATCAGCGAAGTAATTAATTTTAAATTAAATTTCGAGGGGTTTGTTGAAAAGGGCATCATCCAAGTTTGTCGCAAAATAGTTAGGATTTTTTTTTAAACGGGTGTATTTTTTACTTTTCATGTGCATAGCTTCGTGAAATACAACATAATGAATAGTATGTGTAACTTATATTAAATTTGTTATATGTTATATACAGTTCTTCTAATGTAATTATCTACATTTACATAAACAATAAGAGAAAAAATATACGAGTGTAATTAAAAATCATACCAACAAGGAACTAAAATACATTTTGACAAAAGCTAGTACTTACATAATCGAATAGATTCAGTACTATATTTGGCAGTTTTCGCAAATACAGCTCATTTTTTTTTTAGCAAAGAATCTAATTCGTCCAATATTTCAGGCACATTTATATGGAAAACTATCAAATAAAGATTATTGTAAAAGTTATCGAATATAAATGTATATATATATGGTAAATGCAAACACTAACATTTTTTAATACTAAAGATTAATAGTGTGAGTATATATTCAATGTCAAAAGGTTAATAAAGAATCTCAAAGACTAGTAAATACAGCCAATGAAAGAACGCAAGAATGCAACGAAAAGTTTAGAATTTACATTGTTCTCGTATCTAACGAAGATAGCAATTTTTACAATAAGATAAACAGTTCTTCGTTAGAGTATGGTAGATATGTACTAAAGTAGATACATCGGTGCAGTCATATCTCCGTCGTACATTGTGTTTTTAATGGATATCAGATTATTTATAGCGTGTATAAATCTGTTATTTCTTCTAAGTTTAAAAATGCTATCGATAAAATGTGTATAAAATTTACTTCGTCTCGTTAACATACTTACAATTATAACGTTTGTTACATTTAGAATAATTTAAACAAGAAACAGTCGCCGCAAAACAAGTAGAATTATCGCTGACACCAAGGAAGCAATGAGAATGCTCCAAAATAAATCATTAGAAGATGACATTGTCTCTATTTGTTGGTTTATTATAACGTCTGACTGCTGCCGACTTTGATTATCGGTAGAAGTCGCGTCAACGTTACGTTGCCTCAGTTCGTTCTCTGAAATAGTATCTGCATTTATCATGAAAGATGCACCTGACGTGGGCGAATCGTCAGCCTGAAAATACGATTTCTAAAAAAAAATCTGAAGTAGATTATAAAAATTTACATGATCCCATCAAAGAATTACCTTCAAAGCAATTGTATTTAACATTGTTTGTTCTTCTTCCGTGATGGGTTTTTTCGCTGTTGTCTTGGACAACAAACTAACGACTTTTCCGCAAGTATCGCACTCCCAAGTCAGGGATCTATAATAAAATAATTTTTATCAGAATACAGAAAGACAGCTTAATATTTGTTTATTCAAAAAGTTGTGTCAAATACTTTTTCGCGAGTTTCTGTCTCTCTTCTTTACTATAATCTAAAGAACCGATCGACCCGTTTCCGGGCGTTGGCATGAAAGCGATCAAGGCTAACAGAGCTGTTCTAATACTCCAAGAAGGTTGCCATGTTTCAGGATGGTGTCCAGAAATACTGAGACATATCTTTTTGTTGGTTTCAAACCGGCCATTTGGCTGGAACAACAAGGTGAATGGTTATTCCATGTTACAGTAAATTATGGAGAACTGGAATAATATGTTAGCTCACTTACTGTCAACAATATGATATTTGGGGGTTTCATGGGATAGTCTGGAGGTAATAAAATTCTCCCATGATAAACCCCTCCTTCGAAATCTGTGGAGGGTGGCCCTTGCACTGTAAAATGCCATTCGAAGAGATTGTCTTCCAGGGGAGATGCATAATATTCTTCTGTTGCCTCGTGAAGCTCTTGAGCTTCTCTCATTAATCTTTTTACCGCTGGAATGATATAAGATATGTTAGTCTAATATATTATTCATGATTTCAAAGTATAATTCTGTAATTGTAAATTATTGATTTGGAATTCATATTGTATATTGATAATATATAGTTAATCAAGTGTAGTTAATATATATGACATATTGGAAGAGAGTACTCAGCAATACGTATTGTAAGATAACACAGATTAATGCACAAAGATAACAATTAGCATAAGTTACAATAATTTGGCAGGTGCATGGTAAATGTATCGTACTGATACGTAGCAATCAAATATGAAAGTATATAAAAATAAAATTTCTTTTACATATCAGAGTTTCACTTTTCAACAATATACCGCGAGGCATACATTAATGTCAGTGTTATAAAATCAGAGTATGTCAGATCTAAAAAAAAAATCGAGTTACATGTATAAAATTCTCTCATTTCTCTCGAATAGTGTTTCACTTAGCCAAATCGTTACAACTCGTATGCTTAGTATACGAGATTGTTGGTGGCTATGACCCACGATTCATTTTCTAAAGATAACGTTATTTCGGCGAGAGAGTAAGAAATAAAAAGAAATGAATGATGTTCGTCGATCTGTATACGTCACAGAATCGTGGGCAGAAATGATCTTACATTAAAAGCCCATTTTCCGCGTGAACTCACCAGGACTTTTTGCGTTGTACTTTCCCTCGAATGACATTTTTGGGAGCGTGTGTGATCCGAGGTTAAAAACTGGAATAAAAATAGTACTCGAGTTGCGTGCTATCGCCTTGTCAGACGGCCTCGATGCACCGACGTAGTCAACTGTGCATTCTTCACATTTTACGACGAGGCACCCAGACTATCCGAAAAGGAATAGGTTTGCTCGGTTGCAACGACGACGAAGTTAATTTTGACGTGGCCTAATAGGAGCGGTGGGTATATACGCGAATCGCGCAAAAAATAACGTGAAAGTGGCCGCGCTTATCGCGTGCACGCGCGCGCGCGCTGAAGTCAGTACTGGCCTGTTGAAGTTTGTTCGCAAATAACCGCCGCCATCTGGTTCTCTGGTATCTTTCGAATTTTAAAATGATTTCTTTTTTATCAGTTAAAACCGGACGTCATTATACGCCAGCGGTGATTTGCGTTCATTCTGAGATTTGGGGAATGGGACTTTTAGATGAATTTTTATACATTTATCTTTGACTTTTTGGAAAGGTTTGACCTCAGAAAGATGGATTGAAGTGTCCATCCAGAAAGGTTACAGAGCGTCTTTTTGAGCTTACAAATTTTTCGCTCCCAAGCGATCGCTTCTTGATAGCAGCCAATTACTGGAACATATTATAATGAATTAGACGTAAGCCACACATCGGTTTGTACTCTATTACGAGTTACGAATAAATACATTTGTAAATAGAACTTACATCTAGAATCTAGATAGTACTTGTGGCGCCATCGGTGGGAAAACGCCCAAGTTTGTAGTGAGTTTAGTTTCTATAAATCTTTCTTTACTTTTTATAAATACATACGATTTTTTTGTTTCATAACACTACAATATATCGTTTCAATGTATTATTTTAACAATATTTGATTTAATCCAACAGTAATTACCGACTCTTTAGTTGATGGCGCCATCTACTAACAATCATACGAACTGTTTTCACGACAAACTTGAGCATTTCACCATCGATGGCGCCACTGACACCGCTCAGCGAGCGGCTCAGTGAGCAGTGACCTGTTCCATTTAGCTATCTAAACATGATGTAACATTTTATTTTATATAGCTGTTTACATACTTGTTATTTTGAGAATGTATCGTTACGTTTTGCTTTTCATTATTTTATTTTTATTTTACACAGAACCCTGCCTCTAAGCAGATTCTTCGACCGAGGGGAAAGTAAACGTCGCCGTTCGTGGAAATTATAGACTTTATTTTTAGAATATTCTGAATATCATAAAACAACGTAAACATTCACAACAAATGGGAATAGGGGGTGTTATTTATAATAGTAATAATAATAATGTCATTACGTTATCGTAATAATTAATTGTTATGAATATGTCATCATGACGTATTTATAATTATGTATAAGTAAGATCTTTTATTTAATTTTAGCAATTATCCACCGTACCTTCATCGTCCGTCCTTTTTTTTTTCCTCTTTTACTGATAATAATCATAATAATAATAGTGGTGGCCGTAATTTTAATGATAACGACGATAATCTTAATGATAATAATAATAATAATAATGATAAAGTAACCGATAACGACAGCAATGATAATAATAGTTGTAATGTTTTCTATACGTATGGTTCGTCATGTATATGTATATATAAACAAATATAATTATGCTTATCTCGTAAGAAGGGATAGAGTTTCACAATGGCGCTAAACAATGTATGCAATGCAGTTCGCTTTCGTGTTAACTTGTGTTTCTTTTTTAATTTTTTTGTTTCGTAAGTTGTCGTCGTTCTCCTTCGCCAGAATTAATCTCGTTTTCGATAAAGTCGTACAGTCGAAGATCTTAGGAGTAAGATTTCTCGTAATGGTAAATAGATAATAGTAAACGTGCGTATGTACAGTTTTATCGTTGAATGCCATTCTTCGAATGCCGCAAATTTAACGTTCGGTTACGGTTCATGCAGTGTTCCCAGTGTACGCCCAATGGATTCACCTATGGTGAACACGACTTTCGAAAAGAAAACCTCGACAAATGGGGCAGGAACAAGTGTTCCAGTTTTTTTTTCTTTTTTTGTCGATAATAGAAATAATGTATTTTCATGGTTGAAGTAACGTTTCAGTCTTTCACTTCGCAGCAACGTTATTTAGAAATAACCGAAGTAACGATTTATTCGAAACACTTGCTATTAAAGAGAACGTATATAATGAAACGGTATTTCAAATAGTTTAAGAGTAATCGATCTCTGGGTGCTCTTTTCTCGACGATGCTCGTTTATTTGCCGCTTTGCTCGCGTTTACACTGGACAGGTGGATCCACCGAGCGATCGACGCGTAAAACTGACAAGAGAAACGAAGTCTAATGCTACGATTTCCTTGGAAAAATTGATTAAAATCCTCCTTGCTCTCCTAACGTTTCGCCGCGATACATTCCACGCGATCGATTCGCAGCTGCTTCGTTCCGTTCGTTCCCTTTGCGTCGTGCACCTTCGCGTCGCGAGATCCAAGCGTACGTGCTTTCAGTTTGCTTTTCGATACGCGATTGAACTTTTGTTATTTTTGCTCGAAGAGAAAACAACCTGGTCGCGCTATAGAAGGCGGTGTAATTGTATACGTGGCAAACGAAAGCAGTCCACGATGTTCAACGCGTGTACTTTCACGTGTCTCGCTGATATTTCGTTCGTTTCTTCGTTCTCGATTCATTCTTTTTGTTTTTTAATTCGATATGTACATACGATTATCGATATAAATGTATGGCGGATCACAAATCGCGGATAGCAAGCAGTTAATGACATTTAACGATAATTACAAAACAATGGTGACATGGTATGATATACATATATATATATATAATATATATATATAGATACACACACAGACACGTGCACATATATACATATACATGTATACATATATTTATTGCGTATACAGTAATCAGTCGTAACAGGTACATAAAAGTTGTTTTTCAACCAATTTGATCGTGTTCCCTCTGTGATTAAATTAATTTCCTTTTTCGTTTATTGTTACACAATTTTGTAATTTGTATATATAAATATTACACCGTATATCATATGTGTATTTTAGCTTGTGGTCTCGCCTGTGTGCCTTATCGTGTGGATTCGCTCCCGTCTGCGCGCGCATGTGTGTGTATATTTATATAAAGAGATGAGAATGCACGCAACTTAACTCCGTATGTATACCTACTATATGCGTATATACATGTATATAACCGCCTATAAGTCATCGCGAAAATTCTGTTCCGGGAACGGGCGCCATCTTGTCGAGTCGTACGTGCCCACGAGGCTGTTGTATTGCTTATCGATTTATCGAAAGAGCCTCGTATATAACGAAACGGCCTGTTTAAACCTTTCCCTTCAAGCTATGCAAATTGCACAAAATATATATTTGTTATATTTTGTAAATCTTTCCGCGCGATAATGCTTACTAAATGGACTAAAGTATTTTTCTTTATAACTACTTCAATGGCACTCCACTTATATCGCTGGTTCTCGTTGCGTAGTAAACTCGGACAGTCGATGTAAAAATCTTATGAACAAATTAATTCGATTTTTCCCGTAATTATTTAATTATTCCCGTAAATCTGAAAGTTGCCAATACCTTCGTCCAGCATTGTAGAATTGTTTATGAATCGATAATACAATCGAGGCTTCTTTCGATTCGATTACACCCTCGTGGGAAATCTAGGCGTCGCGACGTGGACGCGTACGACGTCGGTGGCGTCGCGAATCGCGGGATAATATCGGACAGAAATATAAAGAGATACAAAGAGAGATAGAGAAAAAGAGTGCGTGTCTGAAAAATGTAGATAAAATGGTAAAATCCTCATTAGCTGTTCTTGCTCGCATCACGGAGGGACAAAAAGTATCTCGAACGAGTTCGTAACAATCTAAGAAATCGCTAGTCCACCCATTCGCTGTTCGATTATCCCGATCGATCGAGCTCTAATCGCGAAGATACGCGTGCTTGGAAACGGGCAGAATTATTTTTCACGGTAGTCTCGTACGTACATCGCAGTCAGAAATTTTTTTATATAATCGTGGAATCAGTCCCCCTTTCCCTTTGGGAAAAACCATATCCCATTATTTATCGTTTGTATGTTACAAAAACGAAATAGATTAGGTGCCTCAAATACGAAATGCTTTCGCGACTGGTAGCAGACCGAGGAAATGGCTTCGCCAGTGGCGTAACAAACGAAGTTAGTTTAATTTTTTGATTAATTTTGCAAACTATCAAGCGTTGAAATGAATTCTGAGAGCGTTTCGGAGACAGTAGTTGTAGAAGAATAACAATAAGCAAAATCTGATGGCTACCGAAGTTCGTAATATTGTTGGTTACGCCATTGGTCGTTATTCCTCGTTTTCGATGATTTTTTAATGTCTTAAACGCGGCGTGTACACAGCCTGGCCGTGTAATATAATCGTGGACGTTCGTTCGCGTACTAAAGATAACGCATCGACGCACATTATCGTTAATCATACCCGTACTCACTCTCTCGTACACAATGAGACTCGAAATGGGAAAGGAATCGATCTGGGAGTCGAGACGTTTTCGGTGGACGCGCACGTAATTCTAAGAGAAAGGCTTTGGGTTCACCCCAATCGTAAGCTTAACGATATTACACGCTACTACAATATAATACAGTTTCTCGTTTCCACCGGGGGTGGGGGTGGGGGTTGGGGGAGGGGGTGTGAATCTTGCGACGCCAATGCGATGCAACTATCGAATACTATTGAATATTATCGGGCACCGTTCGGAAACAAGGATGGATACGATCGGTACTTTAATAAAAATGAAAATGGTTCGTTCTTAACGTTTGGGGGTTCATTAATTACGCGAGGACGATTTTGGCCATTTTTGACACCCCTTCTCTTTACATAAGGATACATTAAAGTAAATTTTCGTTTGACTAACGTGAAATATAATAATCATTTTACAATCGACAAATTAAAGCGAAATGAAAGTTGGGTAGAAACTAGATCTTCTATTTTTCAGATTTGAGTTTAAATAAATAAAGAAGTTTGCCCGCCCTTGTTCCAGAAGGAAGTTGTAGTAAGAATTAAGAGGAGATTCGTTGGATTTCGCGTGTTCGTTTCAGGTTATTCGAGGTATCGATGCATCGATCGCGTGAGCAAAGAACACGTGGATCTGTCGTTACGAAAACGTGAACGGTTCGGATGCAACGAAAGACGAGCGTGTCCTTTCATCACAACAGAGATGGAGTGAATTTCGTTACTAGAA